CATGGGGTCACGCCGAATTCCCTCTGTTCAAGCTAAACCAAGTAGCTGGGATACAGGCATGCACGGTCACATCCAGGGCCTACATTTTGCATTTTTATGTAGAGACGGGGTTTTAAACCATATGGTCAGCGCTGGTCTCGAAATACCTGACTATTCAGGCTGATCCACTGCCTCACTTTCCCAAGAGTGCCTTAGATTCCAGGCATGACCCATCGCCCCAGCTGCTTTGTTTATTTTAGTAATTGTGGTAGCATAATCCAAGAGAAGGGGGGGGGGTGCCTATTGTCTGAAATGTATATTTGAATTTGAAGAATCTAGTAGCTTGGTGTGGCTCCAAAGGGTAGGAACCAGCTGCTTTGGACTGCTAGAACGAACAGTACACAGCCCCAGCAACTTTAAAACTGTTCATCAACAGACTCACCATTAAGAAATACATTTTTCCTGTCCCAGGGCTCATGCCCTGTAATCCCAGCCTAGTTTGGGAGGCCAAGGCCAGGCAGAACACTTGGAGTCAGGAGTTCCAGACTAGCCTGCGCCAACATGGTTGAACCCTGTTCGTCTACTAAATTACAAAAATTTAGGCCGGCCATGGTGGCGCACGCCTGTAGTCCCGCTACTCAGCATGACTTGAGCATGGAGAAATGCTATGAGCCCAGGAGACAAAGTTTGCAGTGAGCCAAGATCATGCCACTGCTTCAGTCAAAAAAAACAACAAAAAAACTATCTTTTTCTTAATGACACAGCATATACATATAACTTGAAACATAAGTTTCATGAGTATATGTGCAGTATGCCTCTGATATTGTCTAGTCTGTGTAAAAGAAAACAACATGATCAGGCACAGTGGCTCACACCTGTAATCCCAGCACCTTTGGGAGGTCGGAGGTGGGGCGATCAAGAGGTCAGGAGATTGAGACCATCCTGGCTACACACAGCGAAACCCGTGTCTCTACTAAAAAAATACAAAAATACCGAGTGTGTGGCAAGCACCTGTAAGTCCCACCAGTTACTTGGGAGGCTGAGGCAGGAGAATGGCGTGAACCCAGGAAGTGGAGCTTGCAGTGAGCCGATATCACGCCACTGCACTCCAGCCTGGGTGACAGAGCAAGACTCCATCTCAAAAAAAAAAAAAAAAGAAAAAAGAAAAAAGGCTGGGCACGGTGGCTCACGGCTGTAATCCCAGCACTTTGGGAGACCGAGGCGGGCAGATCACCTGAGGTCGGGAGTTCGAGACCAGCTTGACCAATATGGAGAAACGTGTCTCTATTAAAAATACAAAATTAGCCAGGCATGGTGGTGCATGCCTCTAATCCCAGCTACTCAGGAGGCTTAGGCAGGAGAACCCAGGAGGCAGAGGTTGCAGTGATCCAAGATTGCGCCATTGCACTCCAGCCTGGGCAACAAGAGCGAAACTGTGTCTCAAAAACAAAAACAAAATTTCTTATCATTTAGGATCCACTAATTGGTCGTGATACAGATTTTGAAAAAACGCTAGGTCGGGTGTGGTGGCTTACACCTGTAATCCCAGCACTTTGGGAGGCCAAGGCAGGTGGATCACGAGGTCAGGAGATCGAGACCAGCCTAGCCAACATTGTGAAACCCCCGTCTCTACTAAAATACAAAAAAAAAAAAAAATTAGCCAGGCATGGTGGCGTGCACCTGTACTCCCAGGTACTCAGGAGGTGGAGGTTACCATGAGCCCAGATTGTGTCACTGCACTCCAGCCTGGCAAAAGAGCAAGACGCCATCTCAAAACAAAAAGAAAAAGAAAAAGAAAAAAAACTCTGCCAGGCCGCAGTGATTGGGATTGCTGTCTGGGAAGTCAAATGATCTCCAAACGGAAGCCTCTCCACCGACAGCTGTGTTCCTGGCTCTGATCACGTATCCTTTCTAAGCCTTAAGATCCTAAACTATAAATGGGGGCTGCGTTACTTCATAGGATTTTTGTGGGAATGAGATAGTAAGCACTCAAGTGTAGCATTATTATTTTTATTAACCCGGTTCTGGGTTCAAGAAGGCCCCTAAGGTTTTAAAAATTGTTCGGCCCAATACCCAAAGAATATTAATCATTCTGTTCCCGGAAAGAGCTGGGTCTGGTTGCATTTTCTCACGGCCCAATAACGAGAAACAGACAAACTAGGAAAGAAGGGAATTTATCACTGTAACCAGGTACAGAGAGAATGCTGGAGATAATTCCACCGGACCAACTCAGAAGTGTACCATTTTCTTAGTGCTTATATAGGTTGGGATTATGTGCCTGTGTGCAGTATAGCATTTGCCTAAGTCAGTAAGTAACTAATTTTGTTTCAACTAGAAGGTCAGAGGCCAAAAAAAATGCTTGCTAAGTTCGATTAAGCTGTGAGGGTCCCAGTATCTTCAAGGCCTATCTACTGTGGTACTGGAATGATTCTTTCTTTTTTTCTTTTTTCTTTTTTTTTTTTTTTTGAGACAGAGTCTCATTCTGTTACCCAGGCTGGAGTGCAGTGGCGCTATCTTGGCTCACTGCAACCTTTGCTTCCTGTGTTTAAGCGATTCTCATGCCTCAGCCTCCTGTATAAGTGGGACTACAGGCACATGCCACCACGTCCAGCTAATTTTTGTAGTTTTAGAAGAGACGGGGTTTCGCCAGGTTGGCCAGGCTGGTCTCAAACCCCTGACCTCAAGTGATCTGCCCACCTCAGTCTCCCAAAGTGCTGGGATTACAGGCGAGCCACCGTGCCCAGCTGGAGTGATTATTTCTATCTTATTTCATTTACTGCTTGGTCTGAAGAGCTGCCTTAGACTTTCCAATAAATCTATTCAGACAACTGCCTCTGTTACCTTGACTTGTCTCAGATTTCGTCAACCCAAGACGGCTTCTGGCACTAGGAAAGTGAGATTGTCTCCATTATTTTGACTTGCTCCAGGATAGGAAGAAGCCTATGCAAGTCTCCTACTGACCATATGTTTCATTTCTAGCTTTGATGTCTGGGCACCAGTTTCCCTAGGTTTAATTATTTGCTCAGTGTTAAGGCAGTGCTGTGGAAATTCGTCTGTGTAACTGGAGTGCTATGGATGCCTGTCTGTGTGACTGTCATGCAGGCCCGTCTGTTTGATTGTTAGGGAGAAATGGCCTGCCACAATTCCACACATTTATGTAGCAAAACTCTCCGGGCTGAAAATCTGTTTCCCAATCACCTGTGCGCACTGATGATGGCCTGGCCTTCTGAATGTTACACCTGTGCCAATGCAGTCTGGACCATACCTCACCTTTGACCCCTGCCCTCACATCTCTGAACCTCGTTGTCCCCAAATCTGATGTTTCTTGTTTCAGTGTCTCCTGATAGATCTCGACTTTGATTATGCAGTTTTTTCCTTCTGAAATGCCTTTTCCTCTTCTATTTTTGCCTCAACGACACCTATACAAGGCCTCAAGATCAAGCTCCAGGACCACTTTTTGTATATAGTCTTTCTTGACTCCTCAGTTAGAATGGTGACTCCCTGCTTCAACCTTTGGTGTTTGGGGCATACCTCTACCACAGTGCATAGTACATTCAGGTAGGTCTGACTCCATCTGCTTTTCCTCGCTTCCCCTAAAATCTTGTCTCCACACACACACACACAAAGACACACACATTATTATTATTATTATTTTTTGAGACGGAGCCTCACTCTGTCGCCCAGGCTGGAGTGCAGTGGCACAATCTTGGCTCACTGCAACCTCCACCTCCCAGGTTCAAGCAATTCTTCTGCCTCAGCCTCCCGAGTAGCTGGGACTATAGGCACATACCACCACACCTGGCTAATTTTTGTATTTTTAGTAGAGACTGGGTTTCACCATATTGGCTAGGCTGGTCTTGAACTTCTGACCTTGTGATCCGCCTGCCTTGGCCTCCCAAAGTGCTGGGATTACAGGCGTGAGCCACTGTGCCCGGCCACAATTTTTTTTTCTTTTTTGAGACGGAGTCTCGCCTTTTTGCCCAGGCTGGAGTACAGTGATGCGATCTCAGCTCACTGCAACCTTCGCTTCCCGGGTTCAAGTGATTCTTCTGCTTCAGCCTCCCAAATAGCTGGAACTACAGGTGTGTGCCACCAGGCCCAGCTAATTTTTTTTGTATTTTTAGTAGAGACAGTGTTTCACCATATAGGCCAAGCTGCTCTCAAGCTCCTGATCTCGTGATCTGCCCACCTTGGCCTCCCAAAGTGCTGAAATTACAGGTGTGAGCCTCTGTGCCCAGGCTGACATACACTTTTTTTTTTTTTTTTTTTTTTGAGACGTTGTCTCACTCTGTCACCCAGGCTGGAGTGCAGTGGTGTGATCTCTGCTCATTGCAACCTCCTCATCCTGGGTTCAAGCGATTCAGCCTCCTGAGTAGCTGGGACTACAGGCACCCGCCATCACTCCTGGCTAATTTTTATATTTTTAGTAGAGACAGGGTTTCACCATGTTGGTCAGGTTGGTCTCGAACTCCTGACCTCCTGATCCGCCGGCCTCAGCCTCCCAAAGTGCTGGAATTACAGGTGTGAACGACCACGCCTGGCCATCACACACATATTTTTAAGAGATAGGTCTCATTGTGTTGCCTAGGCTGAGACTGTCTCAATATTTAATGAAGAAAAAAGGGATAACATACAGGCAAGCATCTGACATCTTTGGAAAGGTGAAATTATATAATTGCAAGATAGTCTTTTTTTGGGTGGGGGGAACGGAGTCTCACTCTGTCACCCAGGTTGGAGTGCAGTGGTGCGATCTCTGCTCACTGTAACCCACTTCACGGGTTCAAGCAGTTCTCCTACTTCAGTCTCCCAAGTAGCTGGGATTACAGGTGCCTGCCACCATGCCTGGCTGATTTTTTTGTGTTTTTAGTAGAGACAGGGTTTCACCATGTTGGCCAGGCTGGTTTCAAACTCTTGACCTCAAATGATCTGCCCACCTCAGCCTCCCAAAGTGCTAGGATTACAGGTGCGAGCCACTGTGCCTGGCCTATTTTGTTTTTAATTCTCAGAAATATGGTGCTGAGACTAAGCAGTTCATCAGGGTGTTGATGGGAGAAAAATGAACATCAATTTAGTCCTTTTGCAAACAAAGAAAAAAATTAAAAATACTAATTTTAGTGGTTTGGGGCTGTTTGTATTATGTCATTCCTGGTGGACCTGGAACAATTTGTTAGGACTTGTATAGAACAGATGGAGCAGCTCAACTTTCTGGTAGTCATTCTGTGCCATCGCCTGCAGAGCAACTGTAAAACTCTGAATGGAGATGGATGCAGATCTCTCTTGATGTTTTAGATCAGGATTTTTCCGCCACTTGGTGTTTTCTTGGAGAAGAAGCCTACATAGCACATATTACACTTTCAAATTATTTATGAAGGTAATACAGCTAGTGGTTCGCAGAGCAGGCACTGAGGTCAGGCTGCCTAATTTGTTTTTTGTTCATTTGTTTTGTTTTGAGATGGT